GCAGACTGTCACCCCAGGAAAGCGAGACCTTCCGTGTCAAACAGGCGAAGAGATCAAGAAATGACAAGACACGGGGAGAACAGCACACACACAACAGAGAGACTCGGAGGAGAGGACGAAGCTCAGGAACCAGAAACGGAAGAAACTGGTTCAGAAACAGCTAAGTTAAAAGGAGGACCCAGCAAAGGGGCCCGACAGGCAGCAGCCGGCGCGGAAGAGGCGGACAGGGGAGGCAGCTCTCTGGCGAGGAGCTGCGGGGGCTGCAGGGGAAGGGCACGTCTGGAGGAGGAAGGAGAGCTGGGGGCAGGGCGAGAGCCCTCCTGGAGGAAAACCAGGCAGGGTTTGGGCGAGGGCACTGGTCCTGTGGGGCCAGCACTCAGGCACCGTCAGCAACAACCACCAGGCCTCGAGCAGGAAGGAAAACCATCCTGGGGCGTCCTGGGCAGTCAGAGTCTCGTCAGAGGACTGATCCGCAGGTGGGCCCAGAAGAGAGTGGGAGGGCACGCATAAGACATTCAAGGAAGGAAGCACTTGAGCCAAGACCTTATGCCCAGGACTGCTTGAGCACGCAGGGCCGGGGCCTCCCAGCAGATGCACGCGGAGGACGGCGGCACCGGCTCCCGGTCCAGCGGCACAGCCCCAGCTGCACCCAGTGTGCGCAGCGAACATGCAGACCGCTGGTCAGAAAGAGCATGTAACCTTTAAAAACAATCTTCAGCATTTACATAGGTGGCAGAAGAAAAGAAATACGGTTGTCATACAGAAAACCTTAAGTTAAAAAAAGTCCCGCGGTCCTGCATTTGAACGAGAAGCACTAGCATGAAGCTGTGTTTACCGAAGAATCTAGAAATAGAGGCCAAGTCGGTATTCACGAGCACTGCAACTGGCGGCATTCTGGTCAGTAAAAGAAACCAGGGCCCCCTGCAGAAATGGCCAGCCTCAGATCTGAGGCAGGAAACGAGGATGATGAGCCCCAAGCAGCCTGTCCTGGCGGATAGGGAGGCAACAGCCACACACTCCCAGGTCACGTCAAGGACGCCAGGGCCGACCCGCAAGGGCTCCCCCCCACCCCCGCTCCCCTGGCCACAGGCGGAATAATTATCTCTGAGCTTCAGCTGAAACCTTCACCTGTGATTCAGTCCATGAGTTCACAATGATGTGACAAAAATATACGCTGATGGATCGAAAGGATGCCAGGCAAACAGTCTATCTTAACACGGGAGAAAGGCACAGAAGCAAACCTTTATCCTGCTGTCCCTAGATGAGCTGCAGCCGCTGGGAGCGAGGCAACTCCTCATGAAGAGTCGTCTACGTAATACATGAAAGAACCACAGAGTTGGCCACGGCGGGTGGACAGATGTGGGCAGTGAGCCGCATAAGCAGCGGTGAGTGTCCCAAACAAAAGATGGCCAGAGGCGAGGTCTGATCCAGACAGCCCTCACTGCCTAGTCTCCCTGAAGGCTGGAAGGTGAGTGTGTGTCGACCCGGGACACCCCCAGGTGCACACCAGCACCACCGGGCAGCGGACTGGCCACCTTAGGGGTGTCACGGAGCCAGTAACATTTTACCCGTTTTTCTTAGTTGTCCTAACATAATTAAAATAAAAACACTCCTCATCCTGTTAAATAAACCAGAGGCTGGCAGTCCAGGCCCTGTTAGCCCAGATGGAGGGCGGGTGATTTAGGAAGGGACCTGGGACCCCCGGCCCTCCCATACGCCTGTCCCTCTTTCTCAGATGGCCCCTCTGAGGGCCATGCACACCGCAGAAGCCGCCCCCGTACACCACACTGCCTCCCCTGGCAGGCTCCTGACCCTGCCACAGTGGAAACGGCAGTGAAGATGGAATTCCTCCAGGTGGGTAAGTGTGTACCGCTGAGAACAGAGCTGCGATATATCAGACAAAAAGAAAGCGGAGGTGGAAAGTGTCCTCAGACAGCCAGTCCATGGGCTGATGTCATCAAGACAGCACCACACACAAAAGGACGCTCCAGCCAACCAACCATTACAGTGACCTTGACCAAAGTCACACCATTTCCTACCTAAGGTGACACTCTAGCCTTGTAATCTGGCTTAAGACTGTGTGACCACCAGGTGACCTGCCCTCAGGGCACACTGTGGCCACTCTCTGAGAGAGCAAGAAAGCTTCTCCCATCCATACAAGGAACAAATGATGGGGCACGTCACTCTCAAGGGCGCCAACCATGACATGACCACATGAAGCAGACCAGAGGAATCACCACGGTTTTGGTTGTTTGTTGCTTTTAAAAAAGGAGGTGAAGGCATTTGTACAGAAACAGAACTGTGACTATTTTAGGAGTTTAAAAATTGTGATATATTTTGCTCATACAACATATAAGCATAGTATGAAACAAGGAAATTGAGACTAACAAACTACAAGATGTGAGCAAACTGGGAAGCACCTTCGCCCAGAAGCTGTTGAAAGGTGGGTCCTGAGTGTCCTGGGAGCGTGGAGACCACAGACTAGGCCAGACAAGCACAGAGCACAGGGCAGTGCTCCCCCACCTCCACCCCCCACGCCCCCTCCCCCTCTGGAACATAAGATCCTGCCCCCACCCCCTGCTCTGGGACAGAAGAGCCTGCCCCCACCCCCACCCCCTGCTCTGGGACAGAAAAGCCTGCCCCCTCAATCCGCACCTGCATTTGATATGCTGACAGGAGAAGGAAAGGAAGAATGTCAGAGACAGAAGGGATAAGAATGTTTACTGCTCACACACACCTGCAAACATGCATGAGCCAAATCAGGCCCTGAAATCAGCTGTTTGCAGTGGATTTTTCTATCTATGGATTTTCAAGCCCCTTTTGGTTTCCTACCTAAATTTGCTTACTTTATAATATTGCTTTATGTTTAAGAACTCTTCTTCAAAATGTTCTTTCTAATATACCTGTTTAATCCCTATTTAGAGACCATGTAAGTCCCTGCTCCAAACTTGTAAGACATTTTACTGAACTAACCATATCTATTACATTAAACAGAAATAAATTATATAGTTCTCAGGAGGAAAAACAAATGAAAACAAGCAGAATAAAACCCTCAAGGAAACCAAAACTCAGACTGAAAATTTAAGTTAGGAATTTTCCAAATGTACTGTATGTAGTAATAAACAAGTTATGTTACAGCAAAATTGTACAACTCTGAAAGAAGTACTAGAATGTGATCCAAGGCACATCAGAATTGTTTCACATCTCCAGACCAGGACAGGACTCATGTCACCTGGCTGGTCTCCAAAATACCATCTGCCGACCACACACCTGGCTGATAACACTCTGTTGACACTGATTGTTGGCTTCTCTAACCCATGAGTCAACTGGACAAAACATGACAGAACAGGGAGCATTTGCAAATTAGTTTACATTTTGAAATTTAAATATTTAAACCCAGAGCTGGAGAGTGACTCCCAAGTGCTGGTGGTAGAGGGTGGCCTGCCTGCGAGCAGCGTGGTGCAACCTGCGGAGAGAGGACGGCTCAGGAGGAACTGTCGTGGCAGGACCGACACCTGGCTGGTCAGACCCACTTTCAGTCTCATGAAGATGTGGCTTCTTACGAACGTGGATTTTATGCTCACCTAAACCCTTCTGCCCGGGGTTCTTAGCGAAGGTAAAGGTAAACTGATAAAAATCCTTAAACTTCACCGTGTCCTTCAGCTCCTGCTCTAGTCTCGGCAGAAGGGCTCTCAGCTTCTCCGTGCTGTCACACCTGCAATGAGAGACAGCGCTGCGGTGGTGGGAGACACGCCTCCCCGCCCGCCCGGCAGCTCCCTGGTACCCGAGGGCTGCAGCGGCCTGACACTTGGGTGATGCTCGGGTCCCGGGAGGTGGACTGCTTATGGGCCCCCTGCCCTGGCTAAAAGGACTGACGTCCCAGAACTGATTGTGGTGATGGCCGCACGGTTCTGCGAAGACACCAAAACCACTGACCTGTAGACTTTAAGTGGGCGAACTCTACAGTACATGAATTATATCTTCATAAAAAAAAGAAAAGGGAAAAACAAAACCCACAGTTGCTTGACTTCCTCTGTATGAGCTGGAATACGGACACACTTTCACCCACACAAAGGCCAGGGTCCTGGGATGCCAGTCGGGCAAGTCAGAAAGACCCCATCTCCTCAGCCATCTCATGAAGCCGAACCACTCTGCCAGCTCCCTATCTTGGGGTCTCTTCCTACGGAAGAGTTAAGGCTAGAGTTAAAAAATCCAAGTACGATAAAACACAACTCCACTGCTTTATAATTGGGTTTTCTGGATGGGGGAGGGGGACACAGGTGAGGGGATTGAGTGCACTTATCAGGATGAGCACTGAGTCATGTACAGAATTGTTGAATCACTATGTGGTTCACCTGAAACTAATATAACAATACGTTAATTATACTGGAGTTTTCAAAAATAAATTTAAAGTAAATAAATAAATAATAAAATTGGATTTTCCTCCAAAAAGTCAACAACCTTTAAGAATATTAAAAAGCCTTGGGGCCCCTGGGTGGCTCAGTCGGTTAAGCGTCTGCCTTCAGCTCAGGTCATGATCCCGGGGTCCTGGGATCGATTCCCACATCGGGCTCCCTGCTCAGCGGGAAGTCTGCTTCCCCCTCTCCCTCTGCCCCTCCCCCTGCTTGTGCTTCCTCTCTCTCTCAAATAGATAAAATCTTCAAAAAAAATTAAAAAGTATTAAACTCCTTTAAAGCAGAAATCTAGAATAGCAAAACATAAAATCTGTCTTTTTTATTTCGACTACCCAGCAAGGAAAAGAATACCAGGCACGCTTCACGGATGTGCACCCCGTCAGCAGGGCTTTGGAGAGAGCAGAACACCGTGCATCAGCGGCCACAAGCCCAGGAGGCACAGGCCTACAGCCCCAGGGACCCACACCGAGGGTGGTTGGGGGCTGCGCCTTCCCCACCACTGGCCTCCCCACTATGGGGCCACTGTGGGCCTTCCTGTGTGCCTGCATCACCCCCGAACCAGCACTCCCTGACAGTCAGCTACCTCAACTCTGAACTTTCTTCATGGGAACTCACGGTGTTATTTCCGGGTCAAGTCTGCGAGGTTCACTATGCTGACTCAGTGGAGTCATTTTCTGTGTCAAGGAGCATTCCCCTGTGTTCATACTTCCTAACTTATATATCCCACCGATGGTAACTATTCTGTTTCTAGTTTTCTGGTAACAAAGAAGGTTGTTAAAAAGGTTTCCATACACGTCTCCCGTAAATGTGCTAGGTTAGGCCAAGCCTGCGTGGGCCAGCTGGGTCACAGGGCCCACGAACCTTCAGTGATGTGATATCAAACTGTTTTCCAAAGAGACTGCTTCACACCACCCCCAGCAGGAGAGCAGGGTTCCTTTCGCTCCCTTTTTCACTGATCCACGTGACTGTGTCTTACCCTAGCCATTTCAGAGACAGTTCACTGTACTTTAACCTGTACTTCCCTGTGAACAAGACTGAACTTGTGTTTTGGACCGGCTGTTTGGAAATTCTCTTTTGTGAAGTGCCTGTTGAAGTCTCCTGCCTGGTTTCAGTTAGGTATCTTTTTCTTATTGTTTTCAGGCTTTCTTTACATATGAAGGACACAAGCCTTTGTCAGCTAAGCATTTTTAAAGTACTCTCACCCAGAATGTGGACTGCCTTTTCACTCCCTTGGGGGTGTTTCTTGATGATCAGTCCTCATTTTTAGTGTAATACCCTCTCAGTCTTCCTCAGTGTTTGCGTGTGTTCAGATTTTCCCTACTGCACGGTCGTAAAGATGCCTCCTACGTGATTTTCCCAGGGGCTTCCGGCTCTTGCCTTTAGGCTTTCACACGGACATCTACAATCCACTGGGAACTGATTTTTTATGTATGGTGTGGGGTAGGGATCAAGGTAAGTTTGTGACTAGCCAATGCTCACAGAACCATTTATTATTTTTATTTTTTTAAAGATTTTATTTATTTATTCATGAGAGACAGGGGGGAGAGAGAGAGAGAGAGAAGCAGAAGGAGAAGCAGGCTCCCAAGGAGCAGGGAGCCCGACGCGGGGCTCAATCCCGGGACCCTGGGATCACGACCTGAGCCGAAGGCAGACGCTCAACCATCCGGGCCACCCAGGCGCCCACAGCACCTTTATTGAGAAGATTTCCTCACTCCTCTGAAGTGCTGTATTGGCCATAAGTCAAACGTACCCCTGTACGTGGATTTGTTTCTTGCTCCCCATTCTGTCCCATCGGTCTATTTATCTCCGTAGTAGTGCCATGTAGTCTTAATTACTGCAGCTTGAAAAGTCCTAATTAGCTGGAGGAGCAAATCTTCCCACCTTGTTAAGAACTGTTGACTATTCTTGACTGGATTTGCATACACATTTTAACTCCATTTGTCAAATTACACATATAAAACTACTACTTATTGGGGTTTTGATTGATATCACACCAAGTTCATAGACAAAGTTAGGGATTAAATACTGACTGTTCCAATCTATGAATGAGGTTTATGTCTCTATTCAGGTTTCCTGCCTCTCAATGAATTATTTACTCTATGGAGGTAGCACACATCTTTAATTAGATTTATCCTAGGTGTTTTGTATTTTTCATGCTACTGAAAATGGCGTATTTTTAAAAATTCACTTTGCTTTGTTGTATTGTTGCATTCAGTATTCTATAATAAGATTGATTTTCGTTTGCTGATCTTCGGTCCTGCAGTCTGGCTAACCTCACTTATTGATTCAAATATTTTACCTGTGGATCAGACCAGCTAACACCTGTTCAATGCTGAATAAAAGTAGGCATTCATGTTCCAATTAAGTATATATCCTGTAGGATTTGGCAGGAAAGGGGGAGCAGTCAGCTTAAGGACTATCCCTTGTATTCCTGGTTTGTGCTAAATTCTCTTTCAAAAAATTATGAGTGAAATTGAGTTTTATCAAACCCATTTTATGGGTTTGAGATAATCCCCCCCTTTTCTGTTGTTAATAAATTACATTGATTGACTTTGTAATGTTAAACAAATCTCACAATCCTGGGCTATAACAAACTTTGTCATGATAAATTATCCTGATTTTTTGGTTGATTTGTCTTGGGGGCTGGATTTAGTTTGTTGATAATTTGTCTAAAATTTTTGCATCTTATGCATCTTTTGAATCTCATGGCTGAAAGTGGCCACTAATTTTCCATTCTCAAAATATCCTTTTGTGCTTGCTTCGGCAGCACATTTACTAAAATATCCTTCCTAAGTTTTGTTATCCAGGTTGTGCTGGCCTCAAAACAAATTAGAAAGTGTTTCTTCCTGTATGATTCTCTAAGAGGTTGTGTAAAGTTGGTGGTATTCTCTTCATTAAATGTTCTGTAGGATATGCTGGTGCACCAATCCTGGCCAATTGTTTTCTTTTTGAAAAGATTTTAAATTATGGGTTCAAATTAAAGAGTTACAAAACTATTTATGTGTCCATTTCAGTAAATTGTATTTTTAAGAGAATTCCTCTCTTGCATCCAGGTTTTCACATTTACTAGCATAGAGTTGTTGGTAATATATTCTTATCTTTTAACATCTATAGGATCTACAGTGATGTCTCCCTTTTCATTCCATATTGGTTATTTGTTACTTATTACTTTTGTAAATCTTTTCAAACAGAAAGCTTCTGGCATTGTGGATTTTTTCTATTAACTTCAGTTCTATTTCCTTAAATTACTTCCTGTTTAAAAAAATTAATTCCTGGGGCGCCTGGGTGGCTCAGTGGTTAAGCGTCTGCCTTCGGCTCAGGTCATGACCCCAGGGTCCTGGGATCAAGCCCCACAACGGGCTCCCTGCTCGGTGGGAAGCCTGCTTCTCCCTCTCCCACTCCCCCTGCTTGTGTTCCCTCTCTTGCTATGTCTCTGTCAAATAAAGAAATAAAATCTTTAAAAAAAATTTAATTCCTTTTCTCTACACTCTTTTGAGTTTAATTTCCTGCTCTTTTTCTACTTCTTGAGACGGATGCTCTCCTTACTGATTTTCAACTCTTCCTTCTAAAATATGCATTTAAGAAGCTGAATCCTGCAAGTTTTCATGGGTAGTGTTTTCTTCATGATTCAAAATATTTTCTAATTTCCACTGTAACTTCTTCCAAGGGTTTTCAGGAGTCCACCATATCTACACATATTTCAACCTATCAAGTTATCTTTTTGTTCTACCTTAATTGTATTGTGGTGAGAAAATATACTGTGTATCATTTCAATCCTTTGAAATTTGTTGCAACTTATTTTATGGTGCAGTTTATAGTTGGTACTTATAAATGGTCTACTCTTCTGAGAAAAATATGTACTCTTCAACATCAAAGGCAATGTTCTAAGTACGTCCATTAGGCCATTTGTTGTGCTGTCCAAATCTCCTATTTCCCTACTGATTTTTCACCTGCTCATTCTATCAGTTGCTAAGAAGTGTGTGAGAATTCCCCACTTTGATTGCAGATTTGTATCTTTCTTGTGTAGTGTTTATTTTTGCCTTAAATAATCAATTGCCTTCCATGTGAAATAAACCCTTCCTCATTATGAAATGTCCTTCATTATCTCTAGAATTACTTTTTGCCTTAAAGCTTGTTTTAATATTGACATAGCCACACCAAATTTCTTTGGTTAAATGTTTGCCAATTACATCAACTTTTATCCTTCAAATTGTTCTGTGCCCTTATGTTTTAATCGTATCTACTGTAAACAGTATACACAATAGTTGACTTGATTTTCTAAAATCCATCCAATATTCAGTTTACTTACATTTAATGTAATTATGTAAATGCTGACACATTGGTTTTCAATCCTCCATTTTATCATTGCTTGCTATTTGTCCTGTGTTAAGCTAATTTTCCTTATGTTCTTTTTCTCTCACATTCTTTTAGGTTGAATTTATTACTTTATTCCTGCTCCATTATTTAGGAATTATACGTAAATCACACATCCTCTACCATTTTTATCACGATTGTAACATACACACAGAAAGCAAGTATTTTCTCCCACTGTTCTGTCTTTAGTTAAGCAGAGCTCTTAACTGTGATGAAGTCCAATTTATTAATTTTTTCCGTTATGGCTAGTGCTTTTTATTCCTTAATCTGGGTTTTAATAAAGATATTCTCCCACGTTTTGTCGAGAACTTTAGAGTTTTCACTTTCTTGTACGGGTGTGCAATCTAGCCCACATCCATCTCTAGCTGTGGCCCATGCTCTGACGCAGGGACCAAGGCGATGTGTTCTCAGGCTCACCCGATTATTTCAGTGTCAGCTGCTGAAAAGACTCTTCTCTCCCCACTGAAATAATAAAAATTGATGAACAATCTTCAGATGAAAAGTAGGAAGACTTTACTACTTCATTTCAAGACTTACCTAATGCTACAATAATGAAGTCTGCGTGCTGCAGGGCTAAGGATAAACAGACCCACCAACTACAACAGAGTCTAGAAACAGATCCACAATATGGCCAATTTCTTGTTTTTACAAAGATGTCAAGGAATTTCATAACGTTTATTCAGTTCACTTATGAATCCACAAGCCCCCAAAGAAAGGACGTAGGATTAACTGTTGAAGGTAGGTATTCCAACCACTGTCAGGGGTTAATAGCCAGGAAAAAGTGTGAAAAATAATAGAGCTGACACAAAACCCAAAGTATTTTTTAAAGCTTAGTGCTGTTTGGACTACAACAGTCTTTTACATCCCTAAAAGCACTGAGGTTATCTCTACAATATAGTTTACTGTCACACTGATGATACTTAGTATACAGTACTTTAACATTTACAAAGTGCTTTCCCTTTTAACTGCCCTGTGAGATGTGAAGAGCTGCACCATTAAGTAGCACTAAGTTATAATCTTAAACTACATATAAGGAGGCATGAATTTATCTAACACATTTTGGGAAGATTCACACTCAAAATCTTAAAAATACATGTTTTAAATTATAACACTCATTAGGATGATAGGAATTTTTAAAATTTACCCTACAACATATTTCTATATAATGCCTAAGAAATGCAAGTGTTTCCATAAGAAGCACTTATTTCCAAAATCTCCCATTTGGGGAAGGTTCTAGCAGATGGGGTAAAGTGTAGTACAATGCCAGGAGGATGATTCTGTAATAGGTGTCTTCCATTCTAAAATTCCCTGTAGTTCACCTTGGCTTTCCTGAGCACACAGAACATGAAACAACGTGCTGTCACACCATTGTCGCAGTGATGTCTTTTGTTTGGTTTTATACAACCAGCAGCAGTAGGGTAAGTCTTGTAGAGTTTATCATCTAAACACACAAGGCTGTTATATATAACAGATTCATCCGTTTAGTGGAAAAACCGTTCTATTTTTCCCCCTGGGAAGCTGTAAGTCCATGCCTTAAGAACATGTTTACCTTAGACTTTTAAGCTCCTTCAGCAGCTAGAAATAAGCTAGTTTAAGTTGTCAACACTGAAATATCACAGTATCAGCAAGTCAAGCAAGTTGGCATTTAGACCACCCTAAGAAATAGCTCAGTAAGCTTCATGATTAAGACATTTACATTACATGCTTTCATTTACTTCTCTGACTTATCTTACAAGTGAGAAACATCTTAAGTAATTAATGAAGCTTTTATCCCAACCCTGTGGGTAGAACAGAGAAGTGTTACAAGCAAAAAAACCAAAATGATATTTTATTGATGTTTAACATAGCAACACAAATAATACATTTAGGATACAGCATCATAAAATAAATTGAATGGCTGAAGACAAACAAAGACACCCTGATATTTACTGTGAATTCAAAACTGGAGGGATAAAAATTAAAAAGAAAAAAGTAAATTATAAAAGGGATTAATCTGAATAAAAGTATTAAATAAAACTTTAACTGGAGTTTAAAAGGAAACCAAAGGCTATTACTAATAGAGAAGAGGCACAAAAAATTTTTAAGATACATATGGAAAATAAATTAATTTGAAATGAATGTTTATAGGTTGTTGAAAAATAATTAATGTTGAAAGCATCTTCCTTTTTGAAAAAATTTAAACTGAGACCAATTTACTTACCCAAGCTCTGTCATGCCATCTACAAATTCCTTTTTGCTAAATTCACATTGTGTCGCTGCCCTGAACTTCCATGCTATAACCAAAACGCTGACACTGGCAGGATCTAGGTTTAAGTCATCACAAAACTGTTGAATCCCATCAATTCCAATTTTATTTTCATCTTGTGGGTCTACAGTTAAAATCAAGAGAGAAAGAAATTTTGCTATTTTGAAAAGTACCACTAAAATGCGTGGTTAGAATCATAGCCCTAGAAAGCATGTTTCAGATATATCAATCAATGGACCACAATTTTCTACTGTATATGAAACAGCAACATATAATAATTTATCCAGAAAAAAAGCCCTATTTTAAAAATCTAGGTTACTGGAGTTTAGGGGAAGAAAAAAAGAATACCACAACTTCTTTGAGAAGACTTAATCATTAAGAAAAAATTTAATTTCCATAAAGTAAAATAAAAATTCAACTTTACACAATTTTAGTTTACCCAAAGGCAACCCTAACCCTAACCCTAACTGCATTGTAGGGCGCCTGGCTGGCTCAGTCAGGGCAGGGGGAGTGTGCGACTCTTGATCTCAGGGTCATGAGTTTGAGCCCCAAGTTGGGTATGGAGATTACTTAAAAATTTTTAAAAATCTGTGATTTTTAAAAATATTTTAAAATTTTAAAAATATTTAAAAAATACTGCATGTAAAATGTTTACAATATTGTAAGTTTTTATCACAACCCTGCCAAAACAATAGAGAAACTGATGTTTTTCTTTTCAAAGTGATTTCATTTGCTATAATTTTAATGCTACCGTACAACATTTAGGTCGCAAAATCATTTAGTTCATGAATCCACGTTTAATGGCTTAGAAATTCAGGCCTCCCTCACTCCCCATTTCTGGTTTAGAAATGAAATTAAGGAACTTAGCATTTATCAGAAAATCAAATAGTAAAATCTATTAGAAACATCTCAGCAAGACCTCACCAAACTAGGTCTAGTAATTTCCGACAGAATGTGCGTGTACTAATATATCATCATGACATATGTGTTAATTCTGTCGGTTTAGAAGGTACGAATAGAAAATTTGTAGCTTCTTTGCTCAAATAAAGATTAAGTGTCACAAACTTTTCTTCCATCATATAAAATTTAACTTTGGTCACTTAAGTATTTATATGCTACATTTTTATAGGCATGTCGTTACCAAAATGAAATAAAATAAAAAGTATGCCGTAAATTAAACAAATGAAAGCACAGGCTTCCTCCCAACCTGTTGTCCTATATAATGAGCAAGCAGTTGTCCCACGGGCTTCTGCTTCTCACCCGCCTATTATTCAATGCTCCCAGAGTTACAGATCTTCAGGAGAGCAAAATTGCCCTCAAGGCCCTCACCTCATAAATTTCACAAGCGATAATACTGACTATTTTAAAGTGTGGAAGTACTCATTCATTTGCATACATTAACATAATAACCAATGTTATATTTGTTAACAGTCTTTGAACAATATACTTATTTCTAGACCCAAGATGATTGCACAATGTGTCTACTTTAAATGACAAGAATTGCATGAATAAAATTAAATGATAAAAGGATACTGTTTAAAGTAATAACTCTCACAAAGTATATTTTTAAAGGCACTAGACATATTTGAATCACTTCAGAAATCTGCATAGCACGTGACTCACAAACAGCTCCACAATTAACTTAGCCAAAAAAATTTAAAGCACATTAAAGCTTATTAAAAACAATGATTTTTCATTTTGAAAGCCAATGTTCATTTTTCAAATACAAATCTGGTCTTTCTACCACAGAGTATGTTTCCGTGCCAAAGATTAAAAAAAAAAAAAGAATGTAATTTTTAATCTGTTTTTCAGATCTAAATAGATGAAAATATACACTTGATATTTTCAAAAGTAAAAAATGAAAATAAACAAGAATTTAAAGCCCAGGAGTTATTCTGTTTGGGGTAATACTTGTTTAAATGAGGTTTTTGAAGGTTAACCTTAGAAAGTGCTAGAAAGAAAAAATAAACTTTGAAGACTTGTTGCCTCTCCAATTCCAGCATGGATTGGACATGTGATGTGAAATCGGACAGCCTGCTGAGGGATTTGATCGGTACAGACTTGTCAGAGAGACTTTTTCCTACAGCACGACCATATTTTGATGGAGAAAGCTCCATTCTAAGTGCTGATTTTAATAAAACAACAATGGTCCCCAATTTATAGCACAAACGTTTCTTTGCTAAGAGGCACCCCGCCCCCCCCCACCGGGCCAGCTTCCTCAAACCGCCTGGTGGCTCCGGGCCCACTACGTGGCTACACTGTGTTAGCAGAAAGATGACTTCTACCCTCTCAGGTCAGAGTTACTCCTTCAACTGCCTTCTCGCCAGGAATCCTCCAGTTTACACACAAGTGTGGGGGAAATCAGCGTGTGGCCCGGACAGCACCCCCCACAGCAGGAGACGAGGCTGCAGCTGGGCGCGTGTGCCGCAGACCCTGCCCCGGCGGGCTCACCACCGCTGCGTCTGCAGACCCCTCTCCTGTCACCCCAGCCCAGGTTCCCTGCAGACGGACTGGACGCTGCAGCGGAGTCCCAGAAAGAGGGGGAATAGCCTTCTGGAGGTCTTGTGAACTCGGCCTGAGAAATTCAGGAGCCAGAATACTCCCGCTCCCCGGAGACGGAAGCAAGCTGCCCACCGTCTGCCCCCGCCGCGGCCTCCTACCTCTGTACCTGTCGTACAGCTGCTCCAGCTTCTTCCTGTCCACTGCGCTCCTCATGGGCTCCTTGAGGAAAGAGTCTGGGTTTGGTAAGAAGCTGTCTGCAGCCACGTCTAGTTTCCACTCATCCTGCGTCACGCAGCACACGGCACTCCTTTGGCCACGGTGAGGAAATGCCATAAACTGGAGGCCGTGTTCTTCCGAGGTGACCTACGTGTACGCGTGGGGCACAGGAGCAGCAGGAAAGCCAACACCACTGGTCCAGAGCTTTGTTTCAGCGCCCCATGACTACTGCTGCTATTCTGACTGCACTTCGCTGTTTCTCACTGGGTCAGCTTCACTGCAGAACCCCGGGGCAGCACGCCTCGTTCTTCATTACTCGAGAAGACTGCACGGACTTCTGAAAACTGAAATGACAGCAATTTAATAACAAATACGCAAAGTGTAATCTTCAAACAATTATGAGAATCGGTATTTTATACAAAATACATTTTGATCTCTACCCACTTCAATTTGCATAAAACACATTATTTTTTCGCTAAGTCTCAGGAAAATCCCTCTTCTAAAAGCAGCAAGGCTGGGTGTTAGACCCAAGGCGCGACCGTATCGCCACAGCCCATCTGCAGGGTCCTCTTTAGCTTCAGTTAATTTCAGGCTCTAATGAATAGAAGGGCTTCACAGTTTGTAAACATCAATGTTTTAAGTTTTTCCCTGTTTAAAATCAGCAGAGCCACACTGATGAAAACATATACAGGTAACTAAGAATAGTGTTAAACACCACTTACAAAAGTTCCAAAGCAGCCACAAAAAGCCTGTTATGACTAAATGTAATAATATAAATAACAGAAATATCTGTGTATATGAGACAGAAATAAAATGGAAAAATAGGGCAGAGGCTGTGGGAGGTAGTAAATAACAAAACTGCCAAGTAACTGTACTATATATAGTATGTAAGGAAACAAAATAGCGTCCCCGTACTTCCAGATATGGAATGGTTAGGTTTGGATTTATCTAAGGTAACCTGATGAAAAGGACATCAGAAATGAAAGTAACTCACTGGCCTCTGTAAATCAACAGACTCTAATCTACTAGATGCTAATGCTCTAAAACGTTTCACAAAGTAATATAAGAGGAAAAGTTCCACTTGAAAGGATTTATAGTCAATCTCATTCAAAAAAGGATGTGACGGTTTATAAAACCACACACAGTACATTATAGCTCACAGAAATATGTAAATGGAATACACGTGCCTCTGGAGAGACCGAGGAGGGAAAAAGCAGGAAAGTCAGGGGTGAGACTCAGACACACACACCACATCCAAGAGCTGAACGCAGGCTAAAAATTCAGCTCTGAGCTTCCCAGTTGCCAAAGATGAAAACAGGATTGGTCAGGAAAATCTGTTTTCGTAAGATTTAAAAACCTACCAGTGGCTCAGAGGTGGCCCAGCTCCTCCTGGCACTGAAACCCAAAGGAGTGGCCCCTGTGGTCACTCATGAAAGGGCGACTGCCCCATGCCCTTCCTGCCCTTTGAAGCAGACCAGCCCCTCCCCCAATGCCGACCCTAAACAGCAGAGCAAGCTCCCAAAGCTGCTTCTCACAGCATCCCTTACTTCATGCCGATGCCGAAATATCAGAGTACAATTTACCAGGAGAATAACATAATGCAGTCCAAATACACTGCTCCCCAGGTACGGTCTGGGCATCCCAGGGCCCTGAGACCTCTCAGGGGTTCCACCAAGACAAAACTACCTTCTCAACAATCCCAAGCCATTATCTGCCTTTCTCACGCTCACTGGAATGCAGCGGAGGCCACCCCGTGACTTGTGATCCTTGCAAAAATGCAACATAAATATGCAATCAGCTGATCATTGTTATTTTTAAATATACAAATGTTTTTAAACTTTTCATTGTAACTTCTAATACAGTAAATCCCGATGGCTACAACTCAAATAAACAAAAGCTCTTTGGGGCTCCAGCAATTTTTTAATGCGTCTAGAGGACAGGGTTCTAGCAAGTCTCAGAACTGCTGATGAAGCATAACACAGGGCACTGACCTTTTGGCAACTTAGAACAAGGACTGTTCATCATTTGGGGTCTTGGGTCCCTTCTGGAAACTGGTGAAAATCACAGATCCTCTCTCCAGCAAAACATGTGGTTTTGCATAAAATGTGGGTGTTTTCATAGATCACTGAAGCCTACCTATTGGTTCCTCAGAGGAGAAGGGAAGGTGAAACTTAGGTTATAAGGCCCAGTAAGGTAGATGAGGGGCCACTGGTCTCTGTTGCAGCTACTCAGTTCTGCAATGTGTACATGACGGATGTGCTGTACACCAATAAAACTTTATTTACACACATGGGCAATGAGCCTGTGGGCTGCAGTTTCTAATCCTAATCTAGACTCTAGAGGAATATATAGAATATATATTCTGTACGCTATTTCCTGAAATTGAGCCACTGAAAAGAACTAGACAAAGAGCTCGAGGTTGTATTTTCTGGTAAGATCGAATTTAGCTAAATTAGGACAGGTCCCATATGCTTTGACAGTAAGCTGACAAAAGGGAAAGCAGCATCTTTCATGAAGGTGATGACCTCCCCGAGGGAGGGTGGGTAAAGCCAAGGACTCCCTCAGTAACTAAAGTGGAGAGAGATGTTCGATACCTACCCAGCGCATCACTAGCAATCAATGCTCCTAACATCTGTATTATGCAAATCGTCATCAGTGCTAGATTTTAAAATTCTGTCATGGTTGTAAAATAAAATTTGGTGCACATAAACAATGAAATTCAGCCATAAAAAGGAACAAAGTACTGAAAAATGCTACGATGTGGATGAAGCTTGAAAACTTTATACCAAGTGAAAGAAATTAGACACGAAAAGCCAGATGTCATATGATTCCATTTATAGGAAATATCCAGATAGGCAAATCCATAGACAGAAAGCAGCCCAGTGGCTGCCCGGGGCCTTGGGGCGGGGGGGTGGTATGGGGAATGACTGCTCAATGGGCATGGGGTTTTCCTTGAGGATCATGAAGGGGTTTGGAACTTGCCAGAGGTGGTGATAATACAACATTGTGGATGAATTATACACTTTAAAATACCTAATTTTATGTTATGTGGATTCTACTTCAAAAAAAATTCAACATAGCATTCTCAAAACCTCCAAGATTAATTAACAGAGTAGCATACTGTTGGATAACTGAAGTATTTCACCAGGATCACACAGCTGATGGATCCACACCAAGTAAATGTTGGCAAATACCTGGAAGATCTGATGTCTGGTCTTGAGGTACTTTTCCTGATAATCACCTCTTGAAGCTTCTCCTAATACATGACAAAATAGTTATATCAACAGTGTAAAGAAGAATACTTTGAAAACTCTAGAAAAAGAGATACAGGAGTGTATGGACCAAGCCAGGCAAAGTGGCTTGAAATGTTGCTATGTACGTTACCAAGTGGGCGGAGTGAGAGAGCACAAGTCCGTCCCTCCTCCATTTACCCCAAGTGCCGCGGGTCACGGGTGCTGGCTCGGGGTGTGTAGGAGCAGCCATGGGTCTAAGCTTAGCCCATAAAAGTCTGTGGCCAGAATGAATAGGAAAGGGATTCTCAATCAACATGCAACAATGTGATGTTACACCTTACAGGTTTCTCCAGAAAGTAGCCGTGACTGAAACAATGCTCACTGGCTAAGTATAAAGACTATGTGTGCTTCACGTCCAAAAGGAACTAGGAGACTCAAGTTGCAATCTGTAGAAAAAGGAACTGGCACAAAGCTTTCTACAAGGAAATGTCTCATAAACTAAAAAATTACAGGGGATAGAAGCAAGGCTCTGGATCCACTTAGACAGGCTAAATCCATGTAAAATTAATGAAGGCCCATATTTGGCAGGACCAGGGCCTACCCTTCAAGCTCATGGCCCTCACTAAGGCTTACTGCATCAAGGAAATTAACAGCAGCTTTTTGGGGGGGGGGGATGGGGAGTGTTCAATTGTTTTAGTTTGTTTAAATATACACAATTCTTGAAATAAAAATATGGACAATCCAGTAGAAAATCAAATAAAATCTCTATAGGAAAAGTCTGAAACATTTCAACTGTGACTTTGAAAAAAATCACTTATATAATCTGGGCACCAAGATTGCCCACATACAAAATGAAAAAAAGAAAAAAACAGTAATTTTTTTTAAAGATTTTTATTTATTTGACAGAAAGAGAGAACAAGCACACAAGCAGGGGGAGTGGCAGGCAGAGGGTGAAGCAGGCTCCTCGCTGAGCAGGGAGCCTGACACGGGAATCAATCCCAGGACCCTGAGATCATGACCTGAGCTGAAGGCAGACGCTTTACTGACTGAGCCCCCCAGGTGCCCCAAGAAACAGTTACTGTTGCAGTGCCCGTCCACAGACACTTCATACGACAAAATCTTTGGTTAGGGGCAGCCGGGACAACCATACTGATCAAATTAATGACATAAACTGTCACTCCGATTTTCTGCTTTGGTGTACAGCAGGCTGGGGTGGAGTTAAATCCAAGTGTCCCCTTACACACTCTTGGATCTTCAACCTGTGCAGCGATGGCTCCGCTCGCTTTCACAAGTTGGCCTCCTGCCCACGGAGCCCCTCCCCCTGAAGCCCACCCTGCTGGGGAGGGCTCCTCCTGCCTGGGCAGTGCAAACGCTCTGAGGCCCGTGCTCCCTCTGGGTTTCTAAGCCAACTCTCCCTGGTCTTCTTGTTTCTCTGACCAGCCCTCCTCCGCCTCCTTCTCTGCTCCTCCTTCCCTAACTCTCAAGCCTCCACTCTTTCCCCTACACACTCCTCCCGGACCATCTCCCCCCTGTTTGAAACCCTCCCACCAGCCCCCCACAAGCATGAGGACAAACCCCGAACCTTCTCTTCCTGTGCCCTAGAAGACTCTGCACACCTGATTCCTGTCCCCTCCCCAGTCTCCTGCGCATCACCTTTCTCTGGCTCTCTGCACTCCAGCTGGGTGGATCTTCCGGGTCCTGGAAACTGTCATCTCCAACCACCTATTTTGTTCCTTCTGCCTGGAGTGCTGCAACCAACTGGCCGCCCCTCCCACATCTCTCATTCTGCAGAATACAGCCCACACTGCATTACACTCTGTATTCCTCTGGTGAAGGCTCTGTTGCCTCAGCCCGGGGCACAATCACCCAGCCCATCCCACAGATTCCTAGAACCTGTGCCTCTCCCGAGCCCTTACCCCAACCATAATAAAATAGTTGTGCATTAATGCCTGTCTCGTCTGCCAGGAAAGAGGGTCCATGAACGCCTGACCCACATCTGTCTTGCTCACGGTCAAACCCCCGCACCTAGTCCCCTACCTTCCTTGCGCAGAGAAACCTTTAAATTTATTGAACAAATGGTGACCCCCCTCCCCACTACCAGAGTTTCCACTACATTTCAAACAGGGGTTTATTTCCAGAAGCCCCTCTTCTGAGCTGTCCCTCTATGTCTCCTTCCTTGGCATGACCGTATTATCTTCCCACATAAGCCTGCTCTTCCTTCTAGACTTCCTATTTTGGTCAATAATGTCACCAGCTGCCCAGGCGCCCAAGCCGGGAACTGGTAAGCTGGTTCTTCATAGTCCAGTGAAGATCCTCTCCCTCCCTCCAGTTCTCCTTTTTGTTCCTACAGAGTGTCACCTCCTCCTGCCTGGATTATCACAACAGCTTCTAACTGGTCTTCCCTGCAAATCTGAGCCCTCCGGTCCAACTCCTATTCTCCCGACAAAATACAAACAGGACCACATCCCACGCCGCCTTCTGAAAAACCTCCTGTGCGGCCATGGTCTCCTGGACAAACTCTACCCCTTGCGCACGGAATACAAGGCCCTGCCCGTGCAGCGCTCCCCTCTTCCTGACTCCCCAGGCCACCTGCCGGCCGCTCTGCACTAGCGGTAATGCTCCAAAGCGCTACTTTCCCCGCTTCACCTCTGGACCAGGGGCTTTCCTCCTCGTCCCCCCGGCTGCCAGCGTTTCCGCTCCAGCCCTGTTCAGAGTCGCCTCCTCCTCGTCAGACACCCGGCAGGCTCCCACCTGCGCGCCTCCCCGCAGCGCCCTCCGGGCCCGAGGCCGGCCGGCCACCCCGCCACTCCCGTGACCTTCGCGCCCCGCCCCCGCGGGGCTCCCCAGCCTCCGCCCCAGTCCCGCCCCCGAGGCGCGACCCCGGCGCTCCCCGGCTCCCGCCCCGACCCCGGGGCTCCCTCGGCCCGCGGCGGCGCGCAGGAGGGACCCGGTGGGAGGAGACACCGCGGATCACCTACCATTCTCCGCGGCGCACCCCAGCTTCTCGCCGGCTCCGGCCGTCTGCGCAGGCGCCCCGCGCCGTGGCGCCGTCATCTTCCTCCGCGTCGGCGCCCGGGACACCCGCCCGGGAAGGAGCGCGGGGGACCGCGACAGGTCCACACCCGCGGAACTCCAACTCCCGGCGTGCACCGGGCCGCCCGGGGACGGGAGGCACCCAGGCCTCGCCCCCCAGCCCCCCAGCGTGCACAGCGTGGCCCGGGGGCTCACGGGACCCCCCGCCTCCCGCGCTCCCTCCGGGCTCCGACGTGCACAGCGCCGCCCAAGAGCAATGAGACTCGCGGGCGTCGCTCCCTACTCCGACCCGACGTGCCCTGCGCCGCCCGACGGGACCCAAGCCCAGCCTCTCCTCCAAATCCCGACGTGCACTGCGCCGCCCGAGGGCCGACGGGACACAGGCCCCGCCCCGCCTGAGGGGGACGCTCCTCTCTCTGGGCAGCGTCCGCGGCGACGGCGTTCCGGAGACGGTGACGGACGGCCAGGCCTCCCCGCGCCCGACCCGTCCGGGCCTGCCGCCTGGAAAGGGATGCGAGTAAGGCGCGACCCTGTCGGCCCCTTGGCTCCCAGCGCCGGAGAGCGGGGCCTAGGATGCACGTCTGCCGGGCCGCGTCCAGGTGAGCGCTGCCCGCAGTTCGGGCGCGGCGCCTCGAGGCTCCCTCCTGGGGGGTCTCCCCTTCCCCGGTGTCCCTCCCCCGTCCCTCCTTCCTCCGGTCTGCGTGCCCGCGGTGTCCCCTCCTCGGGGCGCCCTTTCCCTCCCTTCCGAGTCCCGCTGTCCATGTCTGCTCCTGCGTGGTCTCCCACCTGGTCGTCCTGGACGCCAGGGCTGGAGGGCTGCGATCGGGACGGTCTCCTGCAGCGCCATGACTTACGTTTATTGGTAAAACCGTGGAAGCTGCCAAAGGCGACGGAGGAGAACCTGTGGTCAGTTCCTAGCTTCCCCAAGCAGAAGCTTCATTCTTGCTCGGCTCTAAGATGCCTGCGGGGTAGCTCCTCTAGTAAATGGGAGTCCCACGGAAGGTGGAGCACGGTCCGCCCGCTTGGCTCTGGAGGCCCGCTCGTTGGTCCCCGCAGGTCCACAGCTCCTGGGCAAGGGCGGGGAGCCCCTGGGGCTGGATTTCAGAGGCCAGCTCAGCGTCCCGGCTACAGAAGCTGGGAGGGGCCCGCGCGTCAGCGGACTCCTCCCCGGCAGCCGACCTCGGCCATTCCCCCTTGACCCCGGTGCCTGCTTTCCTGGCCGGAGAGAAAGAACAGGTGCCTCCTTACGGGCCCTGCGCTCGGTCCTCTTCGGATCTTACCTGACAGCACCCGGGGAGACAAGCGGAGGGGAGCTTGGTCAGCTCTGACGCTCACTTGTGAGACGATACAGTTCTCTAGCGGTGAGGTAGCGCAGCCTTCTCATATTTAAACGTTTTTCTGGTCATTCTTTGGATCAGAGTGCCTTACTGGATCTAAGTCTTTTTTTTTATAATATCAGCTTTTTAAAAAATGGTATATCAAGGGTTGGATTACTTAATGGAATACGTGGTTTTTGTAGTTTAGTTAACATTAAGTACTTTAAAGCTTTTTCACGTCCGTAAGAATTTTCCTTCATTCATTTTCCTTTCTATTAACTCGTTCTCTACTTACTTTACAAATTAGATATAAATCTGGAAGTTGTATTTATAAGATTATAAGTGTTTTATCTTTTAAGAACTATACTTTTGTCATTCAAATTGTTCATATTTAAAATTCTCCACGAATTAGATTGAGTTAGGTTATTTCCGTTGGGGAGTTTGCTTCCCAAGACCTTTCCATGAGCGCAGCTTTTGTTTCCTGTTCGTTACTGTGTTGTGCTGAATCTGGAAGTGTTGCTGGTATCACAAAGAAATTCCAACGTTAAACCATTTCCTACAAATGATCTTTATGTTTTCGTTTTTCAGAAGAAGCTAAATGACCGGTATTGGTTGCTAACTTTATTCCTGCATGCCCACACTGCTTGCTCTGGGATCTCCTGCACAGGGCGCCAGGCACCGCATTTGGTACCAGGTCAGTACGCCCCACACTTAGGGCCTCGGTTCAGCTGAGTGGATGTGGCTGGGGTTCCTCCGAAGTGCTGTGTTGGAGCCTGGCTGGGTTGGCCTCTGCCGGACAGACAGTGGTTGCTGTACTAGTAAGGTGAATGAACTAGATTCTTTTTAGCAGTTTGATCAGGAAAATTGGAGAAAGTGGGTTTGGAAGGTCCAGAGGAAGAGAGATGATGGAGGATCCTGTCACTACACATAAGCAAAAGGCTGGGAGGCAGAGCCATGAGGTTTTCAAATTTTAGCCCATTATAGAAAATTGAAAAAAATAGAGGAGCTGCTGCTCCTTCTGTTTCCCCTCCCCCTCTGCCTCCCCAACCCCATTCCCTGAAGGGACTTCAGCAACCCCAGGACTCTAGGACTCTGTCTTATACCAGATGTCTAAGGAAATAGTCCCTTTACATGCCCTGCAGTCCTGATAGAGCTCAGAGTTAGAGGCATGTGGGAGAAATCTTTAACTTGGGTGACTTTGCTCTGAAAAAGGCTGGTTTTAGACTACATTATTGTGCTTTGCTTTTGAGCTTTTTATCCAATAAATGACATAACATTTCTGAATTACTAAAGATTTTCGAGAGAATAAGAGTAATGTGATTTTCATATGACAGTAAATTAAAGGTATTGGAAATTATTTTTTAACGATTTATTTATTTGAGAGAGAGCGTGTGTGTGGTGGGGGGAGGGACAGAAGGAGAGAGAGAATCTCAAGCAGACTCCCTGCTGAGTGTGGAGCTTGACACCGGGCTCAACCCCCACCATCCATGAGATCATGACCTGACCTGAAACCAAGAGTTGGACGCTCTTGGTTTTGGCTGAACTGGACCTGACTGAACCACCCAGGCGCCCCTGAAAATATAGGAAGTTTTTTTTTGTTTTTTGATTTTTTGAGTGGGCTTAATGGTGAACCCATTTGCCTTTTTATCCTGAATAACTTAAGACATTTATTAAATATTTTTGTTCTTGATCAAGTAGTCTCATCAGTTTTAAGGTAAGTTTTGGGAATCGTGTTCTGCATTTATCAAGCAAGCAACACCCATTAGAAATTTGGCAAAGCTGTGGATATATGTTTTAATTAATGTTGGAAATGTGTAAATGAAACCTTTGGGGGTGGGTTGTGTTCAAAGTACTGATTTTTGGGCACCTGGGTGGCTCAGTTGGTTAAACGTCTGCCTTCAGCTCAGGTCATGATCCTGGAGTCCCGGGATCGAGTCCCGCATCGGGCTCCCTGCTCAGCGGGGGAGTCTGCTTCTCCCTCTGACCCTCTTCCCTCTCGTGCTCTCTATCTCTCATTCTCTCTCTCTCAAATAAATAAAATCTTAAAAAAAAAAAAGTACTGATTTTGCTTTTGCTCTAAATGAAAAGTAACCTTGTGTTTTACTACAGCAGAGACATCTTGAAAACCTTTGGCTCTGGTTTAGGGCATTTCCTAGTTTAAAATATAAAAAAATGTCAGGGGGGATGTTTTCCTTGTTCTGCAGCATAAATGGTGATCATTACACAAAATAAGGGCTTAGTGGGAAACAGTAAGCCTTTATATTGAATTTTTAAAACTTTCTTTTGAGATAATTATAGACTCATATGTAGTTATAAGAACTAATACAGAGAAATCCCACAGATTCTTCACCCAGATTTCCCCAATGATAACTCCTGACAAAACGTATGGTATAAGCAGAAGACTGCATCACTCCAATCCACCCACTGTACTCGTGTGTCTGTGTGTGTTCAGATCTGTGCGATTCTGTCATGTGTGGATTCCTGGGGCCACCGGCACTGCCACGATGCAGACCATTTCCATCCATAGGGTACCTCCTCCCCCTTCCCTGACCCCTGAGAGCCCCTATCTGCTCTCCCCCTCCACAGTTTGTCATTCCACAATACTGTGTAAAAGGAGTCGTGGGCCCTGTGTGATAGGCTGCCCTCACGCACCCTTGAGATCCACTGAGGTTGGATCAGTGAATCAAGATATAGAAATTCTAGGGGTGCCTGGGTGGCTGAGTTGGTGAAGTGTCTGCCTTTGGCTCAGGTCATGACCCACATCTGAGCAAGGAGCCTGCTTCTCCCTCTTCCACTGCCTCTTCCCCCTGCTCATGTGCGTGTGCACATTCTCTATCTTTCTCTGTCTCTCAAATAAATAAATACAATCTTAAAAAAAAAAGATATAGAAATTCTAGGAATTCATTATAAAAACAGTAAATCCAAAGTGTCTTTTTTATAATTGAAGGTAATAATAACAAAACACTGGAGCTAAAAATGTTTATTATTTACTCAAGAAAAAGCATGCTACAATTTAGTAGTCCAAAGGATTTGGTAACCAAGTTTGAAGGTAAGATGAAATTGAATTTATGAAGAAGCAGTGATTGATATTTTCAGAGTCTATAAATAATTTCAGTTTCATGTTCATGATATAAGCTTGTTTTGGTGGAAATATTATATGACCACAACTAAAATTCTTAATGATTTCTCATAAAAATTAATAGTCCCTCATGTGTCGTGGGGTAGAGTTATAAGTATTTAATTTCAGGAACTTGTTTGGGGAAGGAACCAGAGATGAATGGAGGCGTGTTGTTCACAAACTGTGTGGCAGGTTATTTGAAGTTTGAAATCCATGAAAGAATCACTTTTTGAGATCTTTTAGGGAATATGGGAAACATTGACAAAGCTTTGGAAATTTCTGTCTTGGTTCTGAAAAATACTAAAAAAGCATGCATTTCTGAAGTAGTGATTGAATTTGTTCTGTCCCGTGGAACAGTAGAAGCTTAGCAATAAAATGAGTCATTAAAATGACATTAACTATGTTGCTAGGCATTACTATGATTAGGTAATCATGTATTTATTTTTGGGCGCCTGGCTGGCTCAGTCGTTAAGCGTCTGCCTTCGGCTCAGGTCATGATCCCAGGGTCCTGGGATCGAGCCCCACATCGGGCTCCCTGCTCCGTGGGAAGCCTGCTTCTCCCTCTCCCACTCCCCCTGCTTGTGTTCCCTCTCTCTGTCAGATAAATAAAATCTTTTTTAAAAAAATCATTTATTTTTAAGGTGGTAACATTTACTTAAAGTTACATTAAAACTGTAACATAAAGTTGGGTAATTTAGACAGCATGTTCTCATGTATCCTATACCTTGTTGGGAAAAAAGTGACCTATTGTAGGTACGTGAATTCTCTGACATCAGGAGCTGAAGGATTCAGAAATGTATTCAAATTGAGCAGTTTCCTGACTTTCTAACCAGAATACTGAGTCAGAATATAATTTTTTCCTGGTGAGTTTTGATTGGCAGGTGTCCCTCCTATCCTCCAGTAGTGGTATTTTCGGTTCAGCCCTCACCAGACCCCCGGGTGGCTAGTCTTTGCAGAGTTCTTGTGCTGGTTATTCAGAAGCTCTGTTTTGTCTTCACTTTCCCTTGGCTGTCATTTCTTGGTCTGGTCAGAATTTATCTCTAGAAATGTCGCAGTCTTATTTTTGCTGCATCTGACCTGTTTTGCCTGGGAAACCAGCTTAAACTTGTGAGAATTGGAATTACTAATAAAACAGGTACAGATACGTGTTTGAGTAAACAGATCCTCAGGAAGGGGAGATAACTGGTACATTTGATGTGGTAATCCATGGGATGCTGCTACTGATGATTCGTTTGTAGTAATATTTTGTTTTCTTCGAACTGCAAGTCTTGTGCAAATGGCAGATTTGTTTTGTTTCCTTTTTTGACATAAGTACTTGTGCCCAGTGATCTAGTTGCCAGGTTCAGTGGTTATTTTTTAGGGCATAGCTTGCTTGGCCTGTCTTTTGTTTTTACTTCTTCCTTCTTTGTTCTCCGTTTTTCTACCTCTGAGGTGATTCCTTCTTGGTGACCTTGCTGACACAGCTTGTACCTGCTCCTTGATCACTCTTCTGGAGGACACAGCCCTGCCCTCCTAGTGTGATCAGGACTCCTCAGCTGCAGCACACACTGCTGCCCGAAGCACAACCTTCAATGAAACCTTCGGCCTGTCATGGTCAGGGTCCTGTCTGTGCTTCACTTGCCAGGATAAATTCCCACACAGTGTCTGGGTGCTTCCTAAGGAGAGGGAGAGAAGGAGCCTAAATTTGGATGATAGAAAATGGTTGAACAGGGGCGCCTGGGTGGCTCAGTCGTTAAGCGTCTGCCTTCAGCTCAGGTCATGATCCCAGGGTCCTGGGATCGAGCCCCGCATCGGGCTCCCTGCTCGGCGGGAAGCCTGCTTCTCCCTCTCCCACTCCCCCTGCTTGTGTTCCCTCTCTCGCTGTGTCTCTCTCTGTCAAATAAATAAAATCTTTAAAAAAAAAAAAAGAAAATGGTTGAACATTTAATAAAGCCCTATTGATCCAGGTGTGATTGTGTTTTGTGATTTTCTTTTTCTGTGTTTGACATCTGTGACTTTGGAAATTTCTCAAAATACCTAATGATTTTGGAAAGAAAACAATATGGTAGTGTAAGCTAATAGTAGCTCAGACGGTTTCATTTAGAAATGATGTGGAGCGTGTTTCCTCCAGGTGAGTCACTGATCTGAGATAGCAGAAGTCGATGGTATTTTCTGGCCTTTAATTTGAATGGTTTTTGTCTTTTTCACACAGTAGATTTAATAGGTATATGACCCTCTTAAGTCGAATTGGTTTTTGTCTTTTGCACACAGTAGATTTAATAGGTATATGAGGCTAAGTTTTCTTTTAAAAAAAAAAAATTGCCCTTAAATTCGACGTAACCTTTAGTCTCAATTCTTTACCAGGCCCTATACTTTAATATTCAGTATTTGATTTAAATCCAGGTGTAAGAGCTCAGATATTAATGTTTTTCTAGGAAAAATAACATCTTCAAAAAAGTAATAGTTTTCTGGATGTAATTATTTAATACTTTTAAGTCTGATCTCAATAGTAATGAATCATTGCTCAGCTATATGTGACAGTAAATCTCTTTTTCAGCTGAAAATGTGTATCTAAGATGCAAGCTCACCTTAGCAGAAACCTTTGGACAGTGTTGCCCTGTCCTAAAATTGGATCATGAAGGTATTGGAGAAAAATTACTTCTGGATGTTGCTTCCACTGCTTCATTTGATAGCCGATGCTGCGGAACATGAAGAGGTAGCAAAACATGCCATCAAGTTACACCGAGGCAGAGGGGCAGCCATCACTCAGAGGAAGCAGTGGGTCCTCGATAGTTGCAGAAAGCTCTCTGGGCTGCTTCGCCAAAAGACTGTGGTTCTTAACAAACTGAAAAGTGCAATCAGAGCAGTAGAAAAAGATGTTAGCCTGTCAGATGAAGAGAAACTATTTCAGGTGCACACATTTGAAATTTTCCAAAAAGAGCTGAATGAAAGTGAAAACTCAGTGTTCCAGGCGATCTGTGGCCTCCAGAGAGCCCTGCAGGGAGACTACAGAGATGTTGTGAACATGAAGGAAAGCAGTAGGCAGCGTCTGGAGGCCCTGAGAGAGGCTGCGATAAAGGTGAGTCCAGCCCGCTCTGAGCCAGAGAGTAGGGCCAAGGAGTCCGGGGAGAGGGCGGTGGGTGCTGTGCTCCAGCAGCTGTGGACCGTCAGGCACCTGTTCACAGCAAAACACGTACAAAAAATGTCCCTTCCTTGTGCATGACATTGTAGCATAGCTCCAGTTCATGACTTTTAGGGCTTGTTCTAATTCTTTTCTCGGTTGTGGAAATCCCCAGGTAAGTAAAATAGTGACTCAAGTTATCCCAGTAAACTGACGGGGAAATAAATATATTTGTAACCGCGATCAACATTTTGAGTTTCTGACAACAATTCTTCTTAGTGTGAAGGTTGGCTGTCTTTAATGTCCATCCACTGAAAATAAAAATACTAAAATTCGTTTTAAATGTATACATTTGAAATAAGGATTTTGATGAAGTGTATTTTTAAAATGGTGAGATGAAACTACTACTGTATCAGATGTGATATTTATATGATTTTTTTAAGCCATAATTTATGCCATTTATTATGTGCCAGGCACTTTATTTATTTATTTATTTATTTTTTTAAAGATTTTATTTGACAGAGACACAGTAAGAGAGGGAACACAAGCAGGGGGAGTGGGAGAGGGAGAAGCAGGCTTCCCGCCAAGCAGGGAGCCCGATGCAGGGCTCGATCCCAGGACCCTGGGATCATGACCTGAGCCGAAGGCAGACGCCTAACGACTGAGCTACCCAGGTGCCCCTGTGCCAGGCACTTTAAATACTGATCTTCCTTGACTTATGATGGGGTTTTGTACCAGTAAGTTGAAAGTACAGCAAGTCAGAAATACATTTAATGAACCTAACCTGCCCAACACCGTAGCTTAGCCTGGTTTACCTTAAATTACGTGCTTAGAACACTCACGTTACCCCACCGTTGGGCAATATTATCTAACATGAAGCCTATTTTATAATAAAGTGCTGAATATCTCATGTAATGTATCGAATTCTGTACTGAAAGTGAAAACAGAATGCTTGTCATTGTGTCCGTTGTTTACCATGTGATCGCTGGCTGATTGGGAGCTGTGGTCCCATGCCACTGCCCAGCATCATGAGAGAGGACCCCTCTGCCTATGGCTAGCCCAGGAAAAGATCACTTCAAAATTCCAAGTGAGGTTTCTACTGAGTGTGTATCACTTTCACATCAGCGTGAAGTCAGAAAGTTTTAAGTTAAACCATCGTTAAGTCAGAGGCCATTGGTATATGAAATATTTCATCTTCTTAGAAAGGTTATGGTATTATCACACAGTTTAAAAAGTAGAGAGGGTACAGACTTATTAAACTTTCTTTACCAAAGTATGGTGTATTTGGTAGAAACACGGTATGGAGTAGATGGCTGAGTCAGGGTTTTCGGCCGCCTTGGTTCAGTAGCATGTCTGTTTAGTGTGTGTGATTGTATGTTGGAAACAGACCTTGATGCTCTCATCTGAACAGATGTTACCGCCTTACCAGATCCTTTGGACAGCTAAGACATTAAAACTCCTTGGTTTTAAAGATAGGCACGTAGTGGTATTGATTTGAGTGGTTTTACTATAAAATAGAGAACTAACATGAGTTTGAGCGATGTTGACCCAACTACACATGCTTTCTACACATGATTTGTGCCCCACATCTGAGACAGTCCAGGTGTTGGTGTGTGTGTGTGTTAGAGGTGTTGGATGGTGTTGAGTTGGGGTCTGTCAAACAGCCATGCTTGTCCTTGGCAGTGTCCTGCTGCTTCCCTGTTCCAGCTGTGCCCACCCCTTTAAAGTATGACTACATATCTTAATAGTAAGGATGCTGATCTGATTGATAGCTTGAGCTTAAATATGATTGTCTAAAATACCGGTATTGTTGGTACCATCCATCAGTTTCCCAAGTAATGCTGTCAGTTTCTTCTGGAACAATTTCTCCTTTGTAACTTGGAATTTGTGTGTATCCTGCTTAGAAATTTTTAGCTCAATGATCAAGTATCACAGGTGTTTTTAGGGTACAGCTGAACGTCTATATGTAGTAGGCATGATGTCTGGACTGTAATCTGTTCAGTGAGTGGTTTTGTATGAATAGGTGACCTTCAGAATTTATTGACAGTCGTATATCACATTTGTTGATGTGTACATACAAATAGCTTTCCCTAAACATTTTGGTAAGCTCTGTTATGTTTGAGTGATCTAGGATACTTGACCTTCTCTCTTTGACCCGAGCCAGATTTACATGATTATGAACATATTTGACAGCGAGAGCATGTTTGTTGGTGTGGCCGGGCCAGGCACCTGAAGGAAGTCCTAGCCTGGCCCATTTCTTGATAACCCCACATTTCATTTCTCACCAATGAACAGGAAGAGACAGAATATGTGGAACTTCTGGCAGCAGAAAAACATCAAGTTGAAGCTCTCAAAAATATGCAACATCAAAACAAAAGTTTATCCATACTTGATGAAATTCTTGAAGATGTGAGAAAGGCAGCCGATCGTCTAGAGGAAGAAATAGAAGAACATGCTTTTGATGACAATAAATCAGTAAGTAGCATTCCAGGACAATTTCCTCTTTGCTCGGGCTGCTTGCAGAGAGGATGTGTGATTGAATGTGTTGGCATGTCTGTTTCTAGTGTGGATTGAAAATGAAGACAGAACCAAAACACCTGTGTCTCAGAAAGTGCTTTGGTTTGGTTACGCCAAGGTACACTAGATGCCCTTGACTTTGCCTTATGCTTTTGTCAGTGCCCCACCAGTGGCTCGTCTCTGTCCCACTTTCGCCTTTAGGGGGACTGGGACTCTGGTCTCAAGAAAGCTTGCCCTGGGACAGGCGGGTTTCAGTGCTGGTCTACCCAGGGGAGCCATAACGTCCTTATAGGAGTCATATCCTTGGCAGGCTTTCAGACCTCTCACTTGCTGTGACATGTTCAGGATTCTCTGGGGAAAGTGAGATCAATGCCAAAAATTGATAGTGAGTCCTAAAAAGGACTCAGAAAAGCATGCGGTAATAAAAGCAAATGGGAACACAGCTCGGGGAGGATGAGCGCCAAGCAGGCTGCTCTCTGACATCGCGGACCCTGGCAGGGGAGGAGGACTCGTGAGTGTCTTTTTGAAAGAATGTGCCCTTTATGCACTGCTCACCGAGCACTTCTGTGTCGGGCCATCAGGCTTTCCCTACCACGTGATCCTGGAGTTCACTTCTGCCCCCCGCACCATGGGTCAGTGCGGACCCTGCAGAAAAGGGCTCAGCCCAACACTGTCCTCCATTCCAGATGCCAGTCACGGGTTCCAAGTTTTCACCTTGGAGGGTCCCACACCCCCTTCCTCGGGCTCTCAGAACACAAGGAGACAGTTTATTTGCTAGGTTCCCAGGACATTGTGACGGATGCAGCTCAGAAACAGCCAGGTGGAAGAGGGGTGAAAGCGTGTGGCTGCAGCACCCCTGCTCTCGGGCCTGCTTCCTTCCCTCCCAGCTGAACACCTCCATGTACTGAGCAACCTGGAAGCTCTCCGACCCCTGTACTTCAAGGGTTTAATGGAAGCTGCCTTGTGTAGGCTGGTGATGAACTCAGCCTCTAGCCCCCCTCTTCCTGGAGGTCACATGGTCGGTTCCTTGGGTGGCCAGCCCCGTCCCGTGGGTAGCTAGCGGCTTTCTAAAAATCCCCTCACTGCTGTGAACTCAGGGGAAGTTGCAAAGGGCTCATAAGGTGCTCCTTACACACCGGAAATTACACGGGTTGTGGGAGCTGTCAGCCAGGAAGGGGGGTGAAGACCAAATATGTATTTCTTGTTACAGGTTGTACCCTGAGTCAAGTAGAGCAGGTGTTTGGAATTAATAGAAACCCTAAACACTTCCACCCTTAAATCACTTTTTTACTTGAAACAATATTCCTAATTCATGTTAATGAGCATTTATCAATCTTTTATTTCATATGACAGAATACTAGAAACATTCCCGTCACTTCTCTATAGAATTTATGCTCTAAAAATTGAACTTGAGAACATTTCCTTGTTTTTAAATACACAATATTGGTTCTTCTTACAGGTGAAAGGGGTCAATTTTGAGGCAGTTCTCAGAGTAGAAGAAGAAGAGGCCAATTCCAAGCAAAACCTCACAAAGCGGGAAGTAGAAGATGATTTGGGTCTTAGCATGCTCATCGACTCCCAGAACAACCGGTACATCTTGACGAAGCCCAGAGATGCCACGATTCCACGCGCAGATCACCACTTCCTAAAGGTGGTCTGTCTTTCTGCTCTGCTCTCAAAATCCCCACTCCCTCTTTCCCATTTCCTTGTATACATGTGAAATAAGATTGAGCTTTACTTCCTGAGCATCATATTAGGGTGCGCGACCTTCCTCCTAACAGAGCATTTTCTCTTGATCTTTCATTTTTTCCCAAAAGAATAAGGGAATAAGGCATTTTAATATTTAAAATATTAATTTTACTTGTGGGAATTTGGAAGTCGTTTTGAAGTCGGGAGCTACTCTGACAGACTCAAGCTCTGTCACTGAAATGGAACATCGGATGAGGCAGAGAGGCTTTGGCTCAGGTGTTGTGTGTGGCTTTGTGTAGCCGTGGGTGCGGGATGAGATGCGGCTCCTCTAGAAGTGACCGGTGTTCCAGACTGAGCTAGACGCACATCTGTGCCCTCTGAGGAAGCCAGTCTAGTAAAGATTTGCAGTTGACAGTGTTATGGGTGGAGAGGACGGCTTAGGTTGGGACCAGAGTGGGCAGCAGGTGTAGGAGTGACCCAGGCAGCCTGCTCAGGGAAGGTTAGCGAGGTTGAGACACGCTGTCAGGTCTCTAGCCTAGTCCTGGAAGCCGGAATTTGTGCTCGTCTTAAAAGAGGCTGGCAGCACAGGCTGGGAGGAAGGTACGTGATCCCCAAGGAGTGCTGGGAGCGGCTGACTCCTGTGCTGAGAAACTCAAACCAGGAAGGTCAGTCCAGGTGCTGCCTGCCTTCGTTACGACCAGAATGGAAACTGGGAGGGGCCACGTCTGCAGAACAACTGCTTTCTCTGCTAACCAGCCCTGTCTCCTTGTCTTGCCGACTATTATCTGAGTGTTTATGTCTCTTTGTTTGTTCTCCTCCAGGACATTGTTACCATAGGAATGCTGTCTTTACCTTGTGGCTGGCTGTGCACAACGATAGGGTTGCCTACGATGTTTGGTTATATCATTTGTGGTGTACTTCTGGGGCCTTCAGGACTAAACAGTATTAAGGTAAGAGCAAAATTTAACTGTTTTAGTATCTGTTTAACAGAATACTAAAGAAACACCAAGACTAAAGAGTTTCGAAGTTTGAACTTGAATTAAGATAACAGTTTCTTATAAACCATATCAAAAAAGATGCCCCATAAAGTTTCATAAGAAATTTCTAAACCATAAGGAAGTAATTTTGTTCATTAGTGAATGGATGATTTGACTAGAGAAAAAATCCTGTTCATGTCTTTAAATTTTATTAGTTTTAGAAATTCTTTTTCCAGTAATAGGATGAACTATATTATTCAGACACTGAAAACAACTCAAAATGCTGGATTCAATGTATAATTTAAAAATTTGTAACATATTTTAAAGCTGATAAAGTAGTGAGGAATTATGAAGCCTAAATGTGGGGTATTGTGAAAACCCCAGGAGACAGTGAGTGCTGAGGTTGCTATCCTAGAGGCTGTTTGCTGGACAGATTGAAGTGAGCTTTGTCCTGTGTCGATGGCACTTTTTGGCAGTAAGGAAGGGTTCCCAAGCTTTTGTGGGCTCCAAAATGTGTCGTCTAAACACACACAATTCAGACAAAATGAAAAGAGAATGCCAAGAATGAGTGTCATGAGTCCCACACAGAAGGAGTAGTACAGGGCGGTGAGAAACAAGCAGCAGGGTCCTCAGATTGTCCCTGGCCTTCCTAGCTGGGTAGAAGAGGGGCAGGCAGACAGGGAGAGGTGTGGGCGCTCCGCTTGCAGCCTCACCTGTACAGCTAACTGACACACCTTGCCAGGCAGAAGGACGGCTGCAGTTTCTCCAGACCGGATCACAGAAGAAGGTGTGAAAAAAATTCTCATCCCTAAGTGATCTTAACAGCGGGTCTGATTGGCTGAGGGAGACGGGAAGGTTGTGCTCGGGCTCAAAGCCCAGGACCTTCATGGCAGGTGCTCTTGTGGGCTGGGTTCAACTTGGCAGGGTGACCTCTGGGAAGAATGGTTTTTGTTTTTGTTTTTTTAAAGATTTATTTATTAGAGAGTGAGGGCACCACAGAGGGAGAGAAGCTGACTCCTCGCTGAGCACAGAGCCCGATCTCTGAGATCATGACCTAAGCCTGAGATATGACCTGAGCCAAAACCAGGAGTTGGACACTCAACCGACTGAGCCACCCAGGCGCCCCTGGGAAGAATGGTTTTAATTCAATTTTTTGAATAGGTAATCTCCATGTGATTGAGAACAAAATGGTGTGGGTAAAATAATTTTTTAAGTTGTAGATGAAAAAATCTCTTCTTGCCCTTGTCCCATCCCTCCCTTTACAGAGTATTTATAAATGATATCGAATACAAATGTATTTTCCTTTTTTATTTTTTTCTTCACAGCAAAGACTGCTTTTGAGAATTAAGGCTGAATAGGGGCGCCTGGGTGTCTCAGTCGTTAAGCGTCTGCCTTCGGCTCAGGTCATGGTCCCAGGGTCCTGGGATCGAGTCCCGCATCGGGCTCCCTGCTCCACGGGAAGCCTGCTTCTCCCTCTCCTACTCCCCCTGCTTATGTTTCCTCTTTCACTGTGTCTCTCTCTGTCTAAGTAAATAACATCTTTTAAAAAAAAGAATTAAGTGTGAATAATAATAAGTAAAGGCTGAGTAAGGTAATAAATACAATTGGAAGCTACAAATATTACAATTCCTAACAAACCTGCTATACCTTGGAAAATAATGTAATTACGGTAGACCAAGGTGAAAACCCTAGGGCACACCAGCCAGAAGTGGGAGGTGGTTCATGGAGGAAGTGTGATGGTGCCAAATATTTATCTTTTCCTAGTAGGAAGTTGATAGGCTTGTGTTCATTAAGTTGAGAAAAACAGGTTTAAGTATGTTACTTTGAAGTCATAGGTTACAGCTTCGTTTTAAAAAGGGAAGAGATTGGCTCGGGTCATGATCCCAGGGCGCTGGGATCGAGCCCCGCATCGGGCTCCCTGCTCTGCTGGAAGCCTGCTTCTCCCTCTCCCACTCCCCCTGCTTGTGTTCCCTCTCTCTGTCAAATAAATAATATCTTTAAAAAAAATAAAAAATAAAAAATAAAAAAAATAAAAAGGGAAGAGAAGTAAAAGCAGTGAGGAAACGTAAAAGCCAGGAGACAAAGGAGTAAGAGCGAAATGTGTTATCACAGTGAGTAGAAGTGGAATAAACTTCTCTATTGAAAGATACAGGTTTGCAGATGGAGTCAGGAAGAATGTACAATAAGCAAGATTCAGTGAAAATGAGATGGGTAAGAAAGGTTGAAGCGAATGGAGGGAGATGGCAGTGAAAAAGAGGGCGGGGCCTGTCCTGTCGGCGGCTGGCAGGCTGCATGCGTGTCCCTGCACAGCAGGTCAGGGCAGGCGTGGACACGTGGAGGCCTGTGCTTTACTTTCAGACGTTCAGTTCACGGCTGCACTGGAAACCACAGTGTAAATAACGTAGGTGGTACCAAATAGAACAGTGTGGAAAGCATTCTCTACTATCACATGATGGCAGAGGAAGTAAATAGCAAACGAAGAACCAGAACAAACATGGAACACAAGAACACAGTGTCTCAAAACCTGTGGGATGTGGCCGGCTGTGGCGCCCAGGGGAAAGTGGGTACATGTAGTCGTGCACAGACTCTCGTGAGAGTGGGCCCTCAGGGTTCAGACGCCCCACTCAGGTTCGGTGCCGCGCCATCCTCCAGAGAAAGTGAAGGCAGGCAGAAATGAAGAGAGTAGCAGCAGCTGCTGAAACTGAAAACAGGTGAATTCATGAGCTAGCTCTTAGGAAAAAAGACCCAGAGTCCTTCAGCTAATCAAGAAAAAGGAAAAGAACAGTACAATCAGGAAGTTCAAGTTATCTCAGATACAGAAGACATTCAAAGAGTTAGTTTAAAAAAAAAACACTGTGCTTTTTTGGGGTGGTCTCACTGAGTATGTTAGTATAAGATTGTTCTATGAAGTATACTTCAGAGGTGAAATACATTAAATTGTGTGGTTTTCCAATTGTGTTTGCAGTCTGTTGTGCAGGTGGAGACCTTGGGAGAGGTCGGTGTGTTCTTTACTCTGTTCCTCGTTGGCCTGGAGTTCTCCCCAGAAAGGCTGAGAAAGGTAAGGGCCTCACCAAGCGGTGTTATTGCCCCCAATTTATCATTGTGTGGTTTCAGTTTGTTTACTTTCCGCGTGTGTCCATGATTGGACTATCAAATTAAACATTTTAGAATAGGTTTTAGTTTGATACTATTTTTGGAATGTAAATTCTGAAAGATAAAAAATGCTGGAAAAGGTGAAAATTCAATGCATAAATAAAATGAGCTTTCATGTGGCTGATTTCCAAAAAGGGTCTGAGAAGTGACGTATTTGAGATTTATTTATTTATTTATTTATTTTTAAGATTTTATTTATTTATTTGAGAGAGAGAGAATGAGAGACAGAGAGCACGAGAGGGAAGAGGTCAGAGGGAGAAGCAGACTTCCTGCCGAGCAGGGAGCCCAATGCAGGACTCGATCCCGGGACTCCGGGATCATGACCTCAGCCGAAAGCAGTCGCTTAACCAACTGAGCCACCCAGGCGCCCCGTATTTGAGATTGAATAATGGGGTCCCTCCAAGTAGGTCCAACACTGCTCGAGGCTGAACTGTCACAAGGATCAGATGTTTGGTGTGTTACCCTGGAAAAAGGTCTTTAATTCCTAAACAAGTGGCAAACTGTGATTCTGTCATTCTGTCCCTGTAAAGTGTCAGTCCCTGCGAGGCCGGTCGCCGTTGGGACCGTGCGCGTGTGCGGAAACAGTGGAATCCGGGAAGCACACTCGCTCTGAGTCTGAGGGCCGGAGCAGAGAGAGAGGGAGTCGGAAGGGAGCTAATGAGAAGCTCCTCCCTCACAGAGGAGGAAAGCAGCCAGGGGACAGAAGGGCAGGGCGGGCGACTGCAGTGCCCCAGCACCCCAGGCCCGGCTGCGCAGGCCACTTGGGCAGCAGAGCAGCCCGGCAGGGTGACTGACGAGCCTTAACCTGCCGGTGTGAATGCCGCCTCTCGGTCCAAGGGAAAGACTGCAGCACACGTTTTTGAAAAAAATGAACCCACAAGAGGTGCTGGGCTCCACATCATGGCATTTCTGTGAAAGACGAGGAGCAGCTGGGTGCGGTGGTCATGCTGTGGCGTGTGTCCTGGGAGAAGTGTTGAGAGTTGGGCGGTAACAAAGAAAAATGCATTGGAGTGTCAGCGTTGGTTCATCCTGTTCCTCTGTGACCTCTCGTTTCTTTGCTGTTTCTTTCTGGGGAAAGCTCCATTTGTCCATCTACCGTTCACTGTCACTTTCTTTAATGTGCTTCTCAAGATACGCCTTCTCATTCTGAATCACTTTAGTGTTTCCTCCAGGTATTTCATATCCTTCTGTGTGCTTCTGGCTTAACCTCTGGTATGTGACTTTCCAGATCCAGAGTTGAAAGGACACTGCCCTGCTCCTCTGTTCGCTGTGCTGAGGGGGCCTGGCGGGGACCGGCAGGGTCTGCAAGGAGCCAGGGGCCTGTGGGCAGGAAGGTCCTCCTCGAGGCTGTCCGCACTTCGTGCTCAGCGCGGGCTCCCCCAGGGTCTCGTGTGTGTTCAGTTGAGTGGAGTTGACAGCAAACAGCTCAGTTCCCTTGTGGTTTGGGACAGAGAGGGGCAGAGTTCTGGCTCTGCATCGACTGGCCTGGCGGTCTCAACGGAGTGCCTCACGCCTTGGACATCGGTGTCATCTATACAGTCAGGGGGTTGAAAGATTAAAGTTTGTTCTGGCTCTGCATTTTCATAATTTCTGTTTTTCACCACGATAGTATTCAGTGTTAAATGAGAACATTATTTAGCATGACGTGAACATAGTTTTAAACAGTATGAAACTGCACGCCCTTGTCAGCGTGGCGCTGCTTTTGGAGTGCTCTGGGCTTTCCACTGACAGCCGTTTACCCTTGCGCGGGGCTGTGCATCCACAGCGGTAAGAAAACACTGAGGTGCCTCATCAGTATTTGATTATTGAGCTCTGCTGGCTTCCGTGGGACCATGTGTTTTCATCTGGGGAAGTCCGCTGTGGAGACATGTTGTGAGGATTAGGTTATATGTGCACGGACATGTATACACGGAGAGAGGCGTGTGTTTAGTCCCTGTGGCAACACCGAGCACTCAGGAAGCCGACAAGAGTGGTCACTGTTTTTATTGTGTTCAGATCACGACTTCGGGTATTGTGCTGATGAGGTATTTACGGCAGAGCTCCTTCCTGAGAGGTTGAGGCCCTTGAGCGGGCAGTGTGTGTATGTGCTCTGCGTGCCGTCACTAATGCGTGTGAACGAATGTGTTCTTTTGAAGGTGTGGAAGATAGCCTTACAAGGACCGTGTTACATGACGCTGTTAATGATCGCATTTGGCTTGTTATGGGGACACCTTTTACAGATCAGACCCACTCAGAGCGTCTTTATTTCTACTTGCTTGTCCTTATCGAGCACACCCTTGGTGTCCAGATTCCTCGTGGGCAGTGGCCGGGGTGAAAAAGAAGGTAGGTGATGATGTGCTGTAAGTATGTGTTGAAGTATCAGCTGTGTCATTGACTTGAATTCACTCTGAAGGCCTTCTAGAAAAATTACAACTCTGTCTCCGTCTTTGGAACCCTCTTAGCAGTCATGGTGTTCAGCTTTTCCAAATCTCCACTGGACTAAGAAAGTGGTATTTACATGCTTGTTAATTTAGGATAGTTTGAGGACCACGTTCAAAAGAAACAAATCCATGTTGGAAAATGGAAATTGGTGGTTTAGGAGATGAGTGTGCTAAACCGGAGCAGGAGCCGCCCCATGTCAGCGCTGCACTCACGTGAGGTCATCGAGTGTGTCTGACCTGCAGCCTGAAACGGAACGGCTCACGGACACTGTTCCACGGCGCCAACTCTGGCTGGGGCTGGAGACTCACATACTTCTATAACATATGGTAATCGAAGGCATTTTCAGCTCTTTGGTGCCACCAGCTTCAGCTCTGTGCGTGAGACACTGGCCTGTGATCGTTACTGGACGTGTTAAAGCCAGACTGGGTCAGGAGCTTAGGGATGAACATTCCAGGTTGTCTCACGGTGGCACAGCCATGCTTCGACCACACTGCCATTTTTTACATCATGTGAACTCATTATGGTGATGTTCACTGCTTTGTTTTTATTTTGTAAAAGTAAAAAACAGGGTTGAAATGTTGTAGTAACTTCACACTGATATTTGCCTGCACCAATACAGCAGTGAGAGGGAAATATGAAAAGGGAAAACCAGAGCCTTGGGGCTGGCTTCTCTGATAAGACCTGCCTTGCTGTACATGGAATTGATCGTGGGCTATGGGCTCTTGGCATCCCTGACGGCCACACGCAGCACACCAGTGCCTGACATCGAGGGTTTTGCGCCAGAGGCTGAGGAACATCATAAACAAGCTGGTGTCTTCTGCTGACTCATGGGCCATGGACACAGCCCCCTGGCTTGGAACTGGACTACCTGGTTGTCTTGTCTGTGGGGGTCCCAGTGTCCCCGTGGCCCGGTGATTAAGACCACCGCTCACGAGACCCAAGTGACAGGAGGTGAAGGGGGCAGCCTCAGTGAAGTAGGAGAATGAAAACAACTTCCATAAGGACCCACACACTGGGTGCCAGTGTGCATGAGGACGTCGCTGGCTGGGAGAGACCTGTAACAAACCCGATGTCAGGATGTGGAAAAGTCTCATGACCCCTGTAAGATGAGCATGCTTGAGGCACTCAAACGTAAGTGAAGGAATCGCGCCTATTCAATTCGAGTAGGCACAAAGATAGAACACAGTGTACCCAGGAGATGTAGGAAAGAATGCCAAGAGACGGGGAGACTAGCTAAGAGGCTCAGTATATATACAGTAGAAGTCCTGGAAGAATAGAGGGGAGAAAACAGCTGTTAACGTTCAGACCTGGAGAAAGGAGTGAGCCTTTAGCTTGAACATACCACTCCAGAACTGAGCAGGAAACAGGAAAATGAATGTACTCTAGGCATGTCCCAGTAAAACAGCAGAGTTCCAAGGACAAAGGGGAGGTCTTGACACCTGTCCGAGGACACAGGTGACCCACACACCTCCACCGCACTGGGTGGTGGACGCCCATCAGAGTTGTCACTGAGGAGCAGGTAGAAGGGAAGGTATCAGACACAACCCAGGCTCAAGAGCATGGCTGCCCATCCAGCCCCGCACTAAGCACCAGAATGCAAGAAAGCAAAGGAGAATGGACAGGGATGTTTCCAGTTTGGCAAATTTCATTAACCTCGTACACAAGGTGCCTCATGTATTTTATGTATGGACTGTTAGGAGGAAGATTTTTTCATTTTGTAGAAGGCCAGCCTGAAACTCTGAACTGTAAGAAGTTAGGAGTATTTACAGGGTTGTAGGTTTGGGAGGTGGGTGCACATACTGGCAGATTTGGGCTTTGTAGAAATTTATAATTAAACTCTTGGGCTAAAATATCACACTTGCAGGACCGTTAGAAAATGTAATTTGGGGGAAGAAAAGCTTTGCTTTATAATGGCCACAAAAAATAACTTAGGAATAAATCTCTGAAAAGATGTGTGTGACCTTTGAGGACAAAAGTACAAAATGTTATGGAAGAGAGAGCCCATGTTCATGATGAAAAGACTCACTACACAAAGACATTGTTTCTCCCAAATTTATAAACTCCCAGCTATCCCAGTAAAAAAATCTCGCAGGTTTTTTCATGAAACTTGGCAAACTGAGCCTACAGTTTATTGAAAAGCAAAGGCCAAGAATAGCCGATATTATCAGGAGCCAGAGGTCATGGTAGCAGCTTGATTGTGACAAAAGGTGACACAAGATGTGGCAATGGTGGCTTTCGGTCCCTGTTCCCAGAATGAGACTTGCTACCAGCCCCATGCTGCATGGGCCCACAGAGGCCCCCTAGAAAACACTGGCCCGCAAGAGACCCCCATACTGTGACCTTGCCATCCCCTTGCCCAGGTGGACCACGTTCATCTGTGGGAGTAGTATGGGCAGGGTGGAGGCCGGGAGTGGTGATAAAGGGGAATCTCCTCGTGAAAACACGAGGAAGGGAATGGGGGTGTTCCCAGTAAATGTGCTAGAATGTTCATCATAGCATGCTTGGAGTAGTGCCCATCGATTGGGGAATGGGTAAGTTGCTGTATTCTATAGCAGTTTTAAAAAGGGATCTTTATGCATCAGCAATGGATAATTTTCAGACGTAATGGTGAGCAAAAACAAAAACCAAGTTGCAGAAATATTGACTATATTATATAAAGTTTATAATTACAAAATAATAAACTCGGTGTTGTTCCCAAATACATAGATGTTATTATGTTAAAGCAGAAAACCCTCAAGGGAATAATCAGCATGAAAACTAAGGTGGTGATTGGGGGTGTGGCAGGAGGGGTCCAGCTGCCAGTAAGCTGTGGGGGGCTTACTGGTAGTACCCGCAGTGTCTCCAGGGTCTTATTACTTCTTCTTCTTCTTTTTTTTTTTTAAATAAGTAAGGCTTTATTTTTAAGGCAAAACAAATAGCACAAACACATCCAAATGCACATGAGTAAGTTCACTGGATTTTATAAAAGAGAAAGTGGCACTCGGGTGTCAGTTATAACTAGAAACATCAAGGAGATGCCCTCTGCTTCTGGTGGCATGGATACAGCATGTGCTTGTCTAAGAAGTCGTTCTGGGGTGGCATCAGTGTGGAAATGCATGACAAGAGTGAGGTGATACAAGGCAGAAATGCAGGTGGGTGAAAGCTTTAAGACCCTTTTCACCACCCTAATGTGCTTTTGTTTTGCTCTGGGGAATTGAAGCAATCAGCAGGTCACCGTACAAAGAACTTAAATGTCAAAGAACACTTTCAAATACCTAAAAGAGATTCAAGATTGTTACTAAAGTTATACAGGGAGGTCAGTAGGAGAAAATAGTTTATGTTCTCAAAACCCAGGTTTCACACAATATGAAAAGAAGAGACTGATTTTAGTAAAGGCTGGTCTTTTTCATGATGTGCAGGAACTGCTGCTCATTGACTTCTCCATCTCCATCTCGAGCCTCATCGATCATTTCCTGTAGCTCCTCATCAGTGAGGTTCTCACCCAACTCCTTATCACTAAAGTTCATTTTTCCTGTCCCTTCCTTATCATTTTCTTGATCTTTCTTGGGTTCAAAGCCCAGTGCCCTCATTGCCACCTTAAGTTCCTTAACATCTATGGTCCCAGTTCCATCAGCATCAAAGAGATCAAAAGCTTCCCGGATTTCCTGTTTCTGCTCTTCAGTAAGCTCTGGTTAGGACTCATTCTTTTTCGCTGGGCAGATGATGCCATGCTTGCCTTCTTAAAGTTAGAGGCCATTGCCGATGGACTCCGCTGCCCGTTGTTATGGCAACCAACGTACATACTGTCTCCAGGGTCTTATTACTTCTTGTCAAAAATCTGAACCCAATGTCTCCAAAGTTTACAGTTTAGCAAAGCACAGTAATGGGCATGTGGTTATTCATCATATTCTTTATTTTCCTTACACTTAAAGTATTTAATAAAAGGGATAGAAAACAGGAAAGAAATAAATGGTATAGTAGTGGTAAGCACAAAAATTAAACTTAGTGCAAAATACAGTTTTATTGAAAGTGGTATCTTTAATTTTTAATAGTTAAGTCTGAGTAATTACTTTCAGCTGTGTCTTGACTGTACCGCTTACCTTTCCCATCAGTCACTACAGTGGGTGCGCGTCTATCCCACATCTTTCCCTTCCGGCCTCAGTGAGCTGCTTCTCTGCAGGGGCTTCCTGAGAACCGGCTGCACGGGAGCACCCCGCCCCTGTTCCATGTTGCCTGCCCCCTGGTGGCAGATAGTTCATGCTCACTGAATCAAGACCTTGGACTGTGAACAAAGAACAGAATTTAAAAAAACATTTAGAAAATGCTGGCAGTATATCATCAAATGCCATTTCTAAAAAGTAAGGTGTGACTGGAGATTTTGTATTTCCTCAAAGTCAAGAAGAAGTACCATCCTGGGCACAGGGCTAAACTACCTTAATCTTGTGTGAGGACTTGGGGAGGAAGACGGCCGTGTCTTTGTGAGCACGGGACCTGGCAGATTTCCCAAGATCAAGAGAGTCAGGGGTCATGAACCCGTTGAGGTGTTTGTTGAAAGTGTCCCACACCTCCATTAGTTGTTGTGAGGGAAGGATTCTTGCCTACTAAGATGCGCAACCCTCAAGGACGTAATAACAACCTGATGGGATTGTCCATTCGGAATGATGTAAAAACTAAGGCAAGATACTCTATTCACCAAAAATTTAACTTTGCGTGGAAAATAAAAGAAGCCTCCTGGAAGAATCAAGTGTGACTTTTGCTGGTGATAAGGGATTTTTATTTTATTTGGTTTGTTCATTCTTTTTCTTTTCCATAAGGTTACACCTATTAGATTGGCCTTTAAATATCTGTTCTTATGAGTAGCTTTTTTTTTTTGTTTAAGAAAAAAAACTTATTTTGTGGGGGTGGGGGTGAGAAACATGACAATTAAGTGTTTAGAAACACCTTTGAAAGTTTGGTCCAGGGGCGCCTGGGTGGCCAGCCAGTCAGTTGTCTTTGGTCGTGATCCCAGGGTCCTGGGATTGAGCCCCGCTTTGGGCTTCCTTGCCCAGCGGGGAGCATGCTTCTCCCTCTGCCTCTGCTGCTCCCCGTACTTGTGTTTTTTCCCCTCACTCCTCTCTCTCAAACAAATAAAATCTTAAAAAAAAAAAAAAAGTTTGGTCCAAAGCCAGAACTGCTGGTTGGAAATGGAGATGTCGGAGGCCCACATGATGCACTGAGTTGGGGAAAATAGTCTCTGTGTCCTGTCGTCTTTGTAGAGGAGTGGCGGCATCCCTTCAGGCAGCCCTGGCTACTGCCTTTCTGTTGGTCCACCTGGTGAGCCCGTGTTTCTCTAGCAGATCTGTGTTTGTCTCAGGGACAGATGCTCAGTGTAGCAGTGATAGTGGGCTGGAGGTGCGACCAGAAGGGGGCGAGGCCAGGTCTCCCGAATAGCTTAGCAGAGCCATAATGGCTGGGCGTGAAGGCTACTTCCTGTGTTCTGGGGATACAGAGTGATATTGGCTGTCCAGGCCTGTCATATTCATGTCCCATGCCTTCTTTTTATGATGACGTTTTTTCTGTAATTATAAAAGTAAACGGTAGTAGAAATGAAATAAACTGGAGATTTTCTTTACAAAAAGTTATTTAATGTTTAGGATGTTTCAGTGTTTGCTCTCAAAGAGATTTTAAAGTCTATACTCTGTTAAAGTATCAAAATTACTTGAATTATTTTGGAAATGTGCACAACGATTGTATTTTGACTTGGGTCACTTTACTATAAACCTGTGCTACTGACAGGTGTTTCCTCCAGCAGGTGACACCGACTACTGACAGGTGTTTCCTCCAGCAGGTGACACCGACTACTGACAGGTATTTCCTCCAGCAGGTGACATCGACTACGGCGCGGTGCTGCTTGGGATGCTGGTCGTGCAGGACGTGCAGCTGGGCTTGTTCATAGCCGGCATGCCCACCCTCATCCAAGCTGCAGCCGGTACCTACTCCAGGTCAGTGTGCAACGTTGCTTCACGGCACAGTCTGGGCTTCTAGTTTCCATCATCTGTTTATAAAAATGCTATTTAATGCCTTTTTCTGAAGAGATGTTCAGAGCTTGTGTGGCGCAGACTGAGAGCTTAGACTCTGGAGTCTAGCTGCCTGGGCTCCAGCTCCATCTGTCAAGCTTGAGCAAGCTGTTTAACCTCACTGTTCCTCAGTTTTGTCACCTAGAAAGTGAGGGTGAGGTCAGTCCCTAACAGAGTATTTAGGATTAAATGGGTTACAATATAAAAGTGCTTAAAACAATGCCTGGAACATGGGGGGGGTATGTTGTGACCATGTGCGTGATTGCATGTGCGCATGTATGTGATTGTGCATGTGCGTGAGCGTGCATGCTCACCATCGTGGGGATTTATCGTTGTTAGTGTTGTGTGCGTGATTGCGTGTGTGCATGTGTGTGATTCTGCATGTGCGTGAGCGTGCATGCATGCCATCATTGTGGGGATTTATTGTTAGTATTGTGTGCGTGATTGCGTGTGCGCAGGTATGTGATTGTGCGTGTGCGTGAGCGTGCATGCTCGCCATCATTGTGGGGATTTATCATTGTTAGTATTGTGTGCGTGATTGCGTGTGTGCATGTATGTGTGCATGTGCGTGAGCGTGCATGCTCACCATCATTGTGGGGGTTTATCATTGTTAGTATTGTGTGCGATTGCGTGTGCGCATGTGTGTGATTGTGCATGTGCGTGAGCGTGCACGCATGCCATCGTGGGGATTTATCATTGTTAGTATTGTGTGCGTGATTGCGTGTGCGCAGGTATGTGATTGTGCATGTGCGTGAGCGTGCACGCTCGCCATCATTGTGGGGATTTATCATTGTTAGTATTGTGTGCGTGATTGCGTGTGTGCATGTATGTGATTGTGCATGTGCATGAGCATGCTTGCTCACCATCATTGTGGGGATTTATCATTGTTAGTATTGTGTGCGTGATTGCGTGTGCGCATGTATGTGAGTGTGCGTGAGCGTGTATGCTCACCATCGTGGGGATTTATCATTGTTAGTATTATGTGCGTGATTGCGTGTGCACAGGTATGTGATTGTGCGTGTGCATGAGCGTGCATGCTCGCCATCATTGTGGGGATTTATCATTGTTAGTATTGTGTGCGTGGTTGCGTGTGCGCAGGTATGTGATTGTGCGTGTGCGTGAGCGTGCATGCTC